CACACAATACACCGTACAACTGAACTGGCCTAAACTCATTGTTGATTGGAGCAAAAGTTTACGGTATCATGTCAGATATCTTGTCACGAAAGGATAAAATGCGATTAGTCCACCTCTCAATCCAGATAGAGTGTCCCTCCTGGTAACGGTTAGACCAACAGACCTCGACGTACATTTGATAGGAGTTAAAAGTTTTTTTTATTAAAATATTTATTATTATTTCTTATATTTGGACAAATTGGTCAAATAAAACGATTTCTCAAGTGAGTAAAAGTATGCTACATAGATTAGACGAATAGAAATTTGATACAAATTGTGAAATATTTTGAAAAAATGAGTTAATGAATGAAAGATCGCAAACCTGGCTTAAATTGTTATTTTTTTCCGAATATTAACAGTTTTATCCTTGAAAGTGGATATTCAGAGTAATTTTTAGTCCGGAATGATTAGTGTCTGATATACAATTAGAAAACAAATAACAAACTATAGTTGATTCTCTAAGAATCACAAATCGAGATGAATTCAAAATTCCGATAGAGGATGCTAACCGCAACCCCCACAACCGCCACATCCCCCGCAACCACCACAACCTCCACAGGCTCCACAAGCACCTATAAACAATTCATGAAACTAACGAGAGCGACGCGTAATAATACCACATGCACCACAGGCTCCACAAGCTGCAGCATCACAAGCTCCTCCACACATGGCCATAACCATCGGAGCAACTTCCAAGATACCTGAAATTCAACTTAGAAACAAATAGGTGAACTGTATGGAAACCTTCTCCCTCGTAATTGACTAGAACTCTATTGGTAGGTAATTGTTTTCCATATCCGCACGCCAATGTTAAGGGCCATTTATGAGCTTGATGACCGACAGAAGTTGTATCAGATCGCGAACGAATCTGAGATTGAAAAAAAAGAAGATAAAAACAGTCAATATCACGGAACGAAAACCTTATCAGGATTGCAGAGAACGAAAAGTGTTGAAACACAAAACACAGAAGCAATTTGCTCGGCTGTGTTAGTTGATCGACATTCAATGCGTTTTCCTGGCAACCTTGCTTGAGCATCTATAATATAATTAGAGATCAAATTAGAACTTCCCAATCAAGAAGTACAAACCTCCGATAACGAATAGAGCTGATCCCTCTGGTGTTGGCACTTCAAGCTTCTGAACTGTATTCTTCAGAAGATTGAAAGCATCTACGAGAAGGCGTCCAGGATTACCTGGCTTAGCTTTCTGACCTTTATTAGCTTGCTTTAATGAAACTTTGAAAGAACATCCTAAGCAGTATAAATACCTGTTTGCGTGAGAAGCCTGTCCATCTTCCTTTTACTATAGCATAATCTCCATCTTTGTTACAGATGACAAATGCTCGTTCATCGGGATTGGATAAATGTGGTAAAAACTGCTAAATGATTGGTTGATCTTGAAATATACACGAAAACCAACTAAATTATTGTCTAATTGATCTCTGCTGGGTAGTGAATCAGCTCCAATTAAATGAGCCATTGCTAATAACCGCTGCTCTCGTCCATAAACTAAAATCATTGAAAGCAGTAGTGGAGCCGAATGTACAACTTGAACAGTATATTTCGTCCCGTCACGAGCATCAACAACACTTAAATATACTCATTAAATTAAAATAATTAATTGAAATAAACTTGTGTGTCGCCATGTGAACGATGGTATTCGATGACAAAGCACTACGATTCAAAGATGCACACTGACATAAATATGCCAAATGAGAATCTTGTTGGATGGTTCGCTCAACAAACTCTCCCGAGATTAGTTGAAGCTCTCTGTTTAGAGTCACACTGAAAAGGTTTTTATTAGGAATAATGAGATTCAGGAACAACCTTGTTGTCACATTAACTCGTGCACAGAGCTCTTTGTCGGAATCCTTAGATCGCAGAAAGATTTCAGCTACATTGTGTGCAGACTTGGAGTTTAAGGGAGGTAATAACTGAAAAAAACTTATTGTAGACAAGGTAAATGCGATTTTAAATACATACTCTTTCTAGTGAAACGCTTCCGATCAATCGAATCAAATCTTTTCGTTGTAAGAATACTTTGTCGAAAACTTCTAACTCGACCGTTAAGTCCTAGAGATGAATGCTCTTTGTTTCTCTCTGAATTAAGCTAAGACTTACCTTAGCTATTGTTCGTTCAAATGGAAATTTTACAATCGAGGCAGAAGTACTAGAGTCAGTTGGTTGCCATACAAGTGAAAAACCCGATTTCGTTACCTATCATACAAAGATTATGAAGTGATGATGTATGCATGTAATATACCTGTTTCTGTGATAAATCAGCATTAAATGTTGTGACTTTCTTATTTCCGTAGCATAATTTCAGTCTGTGAAAGAGTAAATTGATAAGACTGATTGTTTGAAGAGGTACACACCGTAATTGTTCTCGTTGAACAGGAATATCTTTGAGGGCAATTGAAGGAACATGTATGTCACCATAAGCAATATTAGAGAGATCTTGACTTTCAAATCCCAGAAAAGATGGGGCGTTATGTCCTCTGAAAAAATAACTATTCGTATAGTTAAACAGCTGTTCTAAAAAAACATTAATGTCAACTCTTCATTTAAGAGGAAAAAAGAAAGAATTATTTTTCTTCACACATTTGATCGGAAGAAAATATTTTTTTTCAAAAAGTAAATCTATGATTGATGGTAATCTAACGTTTGAATGTTCCCTCTCAATCTTTTCTTCTCTCTAAGTCTTTCGATCTCTTTCAGTATTTTGATTTCCCTCAAGCTATTTCTGACACAGAAAGGTTGTGTAATACGAGCAGATTGGCTACTTCAATTGTCGTGAACATCTTCTTCCTCCCTCTCTCACTATTTTTGAGAGAAAACTTCTTTGGTGTGTAAAAAATTCTCTTAAAAAGAATTTCTCTTCGGAACTGACCGAAACATGCATCCCCTTCTCCAGAAAGAATCTTCGAAGTGAGTTGCCCAAAGCTTCTTTGTTATGGCTTCTCCTTTGAGTAACTTGCTACCCTGAAAACAAAACTCCATAGCTGGAATGAAAAGGATAAAATAGTTACTTTGTTTCGATCATTCACAGAATCATCGTGTTTCAATAAATTTCCAAAAATGGCTATACAATCCCGATGATAACTAAGAGGGTGTACCTAAACACGGAAAACTTAACAGAATTGAATTGGAAGAGAGCTATACCTGATGGGTATGCCAAATGAGATCGAAGTCATAACATGGGGTCAAAAACTGATCCGGATATGCTTGTTTTAGTAAGAGAAAGTTTACATAACGTTTAACAGCATCTTTCAAAAATTTATTAGAAGTATAATGAGGAAGAGATACCTTAAAAGAGTATTTAAGGAGAAATAAAGAGAAGCATGACTCACTTGATAGTTGAAATTTCGTTGGCGTTGCACTGCAGCAGCAATATCGTATGAGCATTTAGATTTATAAGTAGGTGCCGGAGCAGGGGAAGCCAAAAAGTCGTACGGTTCAGGAGAACAAAAAGCATCCCAAGCACGAACTGATGACTCGTATCTGAAATGGAAGATATATATATATATATACGGAAAGGTTAGATGAAAACCTTTTTTGGATTTCATCCGAAGACAACAGCTGATGGTCAATCACTTTGCCGCAAACTTTCTCACAATCCTACAATATTATCAAAATTTTCATATTGTCCGCAATTAACTCAGAAAGCATTTACCCCTCTCCTGCTTGGAGCTCTATTTTTCGCGAAGACATTCGTTCGAATTGAATGGATAGAATGGAAGGAAAGCCGATAATAAAATCGTCGGCAATTCGCTTGATTTGACTTGAACTTCAAGATTGATCATTTGAAAGATCAAAATTGAAAAATCATTCAAGAGCGAACAAGAATAATGTTAAAATATATGAGAGGAGAGGGGAATGATGGACGTTTATAGATGGTTATTACCTCTTGATAATGTGTTGGACTCAACATATGACAATGCCATATCCAATGAACATCTAAAGGAGGGATAACGTTCATGTCACTATTTTTAGCCTGAAAGTATAAAGTAATAGAAGAGGAAGTAAATTAAAAACTATTTTTTACCTGCATTGGAAGCCAGTATGTCTCATATCGACGAATAGCTTGATTGACAACATCTGGTTCGTATAAAAGAGGAGCTTTACGATCAATCATTCGAAGAAAATTAGCCTCTCTCTGTAAAAGTTTAACTATATGAATATGTTATTGAAACTAATATGAAATGTATGTCAAACATATTATTTTGACAGATGTTTTCTTCCACTCTCATTATTAAGCCGTAAGTCTCTCGTAAGGACAAAGATTCATGCATTCCAAGTGACTGATTACTCAATGTTACTTCTTCTTGTTACTCTCTTTCCCTTCTATTGACGAACATATCCTTAGCTAAGCGAGAGAAAGAAGAAGATGGAGAAGAAGAATAAGAGGCCCATTGAGCCTTTTCTCTCCATTTTCAGTTCACACAACTTTTCATTTGACAGTTGATCTTTCATACGAATTGCTTTGCTCATTCTCAATTCTAACTCAGATTTTGCTGATTCTTCAAATTAGCTTTTCATCTCATTTCTTATTCTCTTCTTTATTCATCCCAACTCTTCACTCTGTCTCTCTCTCTCTCTCTCTCTCTCTCTCTCTCTCTCTCTCTCTCTCTCTCTCTCTTTTTCTTTTCT